AATGATCTGTAAATGAACGTTATAAAAATATAAGCTGAAAACGCAATGGCTAGAAAACAATTTAAAAGTTTTAGCTGAAGACTGAGGGGGCAAGAAGTCAGTCATAAAAACTGCAAGCTGAAGACTGAAGGGGCAAGAAGTCAGTTATAAAAACTGCAAGCTGAAGACTGAAGGGGCAAGAAGTCAGTTATAAAAACTGCAAGCTGAAGACTGAAGGGGCAAGAAGTCAGTTATAAAAACTGTAAGCTGAAGACTGAAGGGCAAGAAGTCAGTTATAACACTGTAAGCTGAAGACTGAAGAGGCAAGAAGTCAGTTATAAAAACTGTAAGCTGAAGACTGAAGGGGCAAGAAGAAAGTCATCAAAACTGTAAGCTGAAACTGAAGGGCTACAAGACAGTTATAAAAAACTGTAAGCTGAAACTAAAGGGCTACAAGACAATTATAAAAACTGTAAGCTGAAACTAAAGGGCTACAAGACAGTTATAAAAACTGTAAGCTGAAACTAAAGGGCTAGTTAGATAAAATATAAATTTTTGTGATACAATAAGAACAAGCAGAATAACACATTGATTGTAATAAATGTTGTTGGAGGTATTTAATGGTTTCAGTGTAAGAAATATGAGATTGGAAATTACATCATGTACATTACTGGTTTCAATGTTTTCTAACTGTTTCAGGCCGCATCCACTCTGCTGTGATTAGTGGGATCAACACTGCTACAAGAAGTGCAACTGTTGAGTGGTTTGAGCGTGGAGAAACTAAAGGAAAGGAGGTAAGGTTACCATGGAAACTTGGAAAAACTATAGAAAGGGAGGTAAGGTTACATGGGAAATTTGAAAAGAATGAAGGAATGGAGGTAAAGAGATAATGGAAACTTGGAAAAACTATAGAAAGGGAGGTAAGGTTACATGGGAAATTTGAAAAGAATGAAGGAATGGAGGTAAAGAGATAATGGAAACTTGGAGAGAATAGTGGAAGGTTACAGTAGAAACTTGAGAGTTACCATTGATGTTTCTTTTCAGGTAATCTTATGGGTTGAAATACAGTTTTCTATTGGGAAGTTAATGAATTGTTGTCATGTTTTCTCCTGATTTCACTTGGAAATGCCTACTATGACGTTTGCAAATTTTGCTTTCAACATCTTCTATTTGTCAAATTTCAGTTTAAATCAGCCAATGACTAGTTCATAGCTCAGTATCCATAGTTACCAAATCAGTCAGTGTTGTGTATACTAATGGGTCCATAGTTCAGTTGCCATAGTTACTGAAAGAGCTAGTGTATACTGTTGTGTGTACTAATGAGTTCGTAGTTGCCATGTGTAATCAAAGTTTATTCTTTAGTTTCCATAGTTAATAAATCAGACAATGTTGTGTGTACTAATGAGTCTGTAGTTGCCAGTGTTATGTATAACCAAAGTAACTGGTTTATTCTTTAGTTAATAAATCAGACAGTGTTGTGTTTCCTAATTTGTTCATAGTTGAGTTGCCATAGTTACCAGATTATTATCAGTGCTTCAAAAGATGGTGATAACAGTCTGCAGGAGTAGTACGTGCTGTGTAACAGAATCAGCAGCTGCCACACATGGATGTATTTCCAGTGACTGTATTATCCAAAAAGATCAGCAAACAGCTGTGGCTCGTACACTAACACCAAAAGGATGCAAAATATCTTTCTTTTTTCTCTCTCTCTCTCTCAGTCATTAAGATATTGGAAGAAAGAAACTACTACAAAAAATACAGTAAATGTTGCATGGCACTTTGTCATCGGAATGTTGTTGTAGATTCCTTCCTTTTCCCAGTATGAAACTTGTATGTTTTTGTGTGTGTGTAATGTTAAGTTCATCATCTGCTTTACGGTATATTCTTGAATTTGTAGGGTTCAGAACACTTGTCTTTTTTTAAACAAAAATAAATATTCTCATAAAGCATTTAAGTATTGGTTAGATTGTACTTATTTGATAGCAATCATGCTCTGTTTTTAGATTTCTTTAAACAAACACAATACACAGGTGATACGAAGACTTAGAACTGAGCTGGATTACAGTTAATGTAAGAATGTTGGTGCTTCAGGCTAAGAGAGCAGTTGTTCAATTGTTTCTTGTATTCTATACTAGCTGAAAGTGATTTTAGTTTGAATAATTTATTTGATCTATATTTTATACAATGCGGTCCGGCATGGATAGGTGGTTAGGGTGCTCGACTCACAATCTGCAGGTTGTGCATTCGAATCCCCATCGCATCAAACACGCACGCCCTTTCAGCCATGGAGGCGTTATAATGTGACAATCAATCCCACTATTCATTGGTAAAAGAGTAGCCCAAGAGTGGCGGTGGGTGGTGATGACTAGCTGCCTTCTCTAGTCATACACTGCTAAATTAGGGACGGCTAGCGCATATAGCCCTTGTGTAGCTTTGTGCAATATTCACAACAAACAAACAAACTTTATACAATAAATACTTTTTTTTATTCTATTTTACAAGAACTGAATTAAGTATTATAATAAGATGTACACATTATTATTATTTTGTGGTTTGAAGTTTTCCATAATTAATTCTGGGCATGTTGGAAAGACTTGGGTGTCTTATTTAGCAGTCAAAGTATGTAGATTTTGGACTAGACTAATTCTTCGAAGATGCCTGAACCTTGTGATATATTATTGGAATTAAGGCCAAAATGTTATTGTTATTAGTAAGAGTGCCTAACTTATGATTCATTGCAGTTTAATTGTATTATAGGTTTCAGTTTTGTTTATGATATTAATTAATTCTATTTGGTTTATTGCACAAGATGACCTTTATTATATTATAATTTACGTTTTTAATTCTCATCTTGTTACTTGTTTTTATCACTAATTCTGAGTAAACATACTTTCAAAACAGCTCTTGTAATTTCTGGATTTTTTTTAGATTGAGTTTGAAGCATTGTATGCACTCAATCCTGGGATTTGTGATGTCTCCCGCAACGTCAATAGAAAGGTAGGTTTAATAGAACAAGGCTACTACAAATAACAAAAGTATGTTGTGTCACAAGTTTCCCGAGGTTTGAACACATTCCATAAAAAAACCTAATTGTTACTTTTACAAAAGCTGAGGTTTTAGAATGTGTTGGACTTCAAATTAAATAAGGAATATGAGATGAATACAAACACTGGTATTATTTTTGTAGGTCTACTTTTTTTTTCAAGAAATTGTGTATTTAAAAAAAAACTTTATTTTTGTTGTATGGTTTAACAAATGAATATAAAATACATTTTCTTATTAAACTTAATCTGACTCAGTATTATGCCATTTTAACTGAAGGAAAACACTGATTTGTATAAATGCTAGTTGCAGCCTAGATCCTGTTTTACATCAAGGACTAGAAACCCATTCACTTTTCAGTATGTTATGGACTTTTTATCTAGGTCTGTTTTGATCAGTAGAAACAAAGGTAAACCATTGTAAGTTGGTGAGGGAGTTTTAGGGAAAAACATTAAAGCATTATTATAGGTAAATTGATGTCCACTTTGACTATTGTAGGTTTTATATGTCAAGGTACAATTCAGTGCTGATCATCATGTGTTCAAATGCAATTTACTACTAAAAATCACATGCCCAGGTGCAACTGATGACATGTTGAGAAGCAGTTAATGTTGAGCAGGATGTAAAACAAGCTGTAAAGATATGTTACTGGCTGATATACAATCTTTAGTATTTAGAAAATAAGTAAGTTCTTTGAACAGCTTACATCAACACACACATATACAGTCTTATATTCAAACACATACTGAGTCTCTTACACTGTTCATTTAACCCTTTCCAGACAGGTCACGGGTGAAAGGCCATGTCATCATGTTTGTTGACTTGCATTC